TTTGCTTACATGGAGATTGTTGACTTTTTTTGGCTGTTTCCATTCGCGTAGGTCATCACTCTCCATGAGGCTGCGGTTAGATGTTAGGTAAACTGTCTTCTCGGGACAAATGAACAACTCCTCAGAAGGCAGGGACGTATCCTACCAGGACTCGCTGGAAAAAAACAGCAAAGCTGAGACGCACCGAGGGAACATCGTCACCTGTAAACTCAAACAGGTTTACTGCTGAATCGTGTTTTTTTAGAACAGAGCTCTACAGGAGCATGTAGATTGTGCGCACCAACCAAAGAGTTCGGTTCTTACCATGCGATTGCCAGAGATCTCACTAGATAGCAACGTGTAAAACACCAACGCCAGGTCGACCCAACTGCTTGCGTATGCATAACAAGCTTGGGTTTCTGAACAGCGCGTGAAATAAAAGATCGCTCTTAATGGGTATGGGCTACACTTGCATGGATATTTGCCTCACGATTCTAGTCAAAGAAGGCTCTCAGGGTCAATGGCTTTTGCAATTTGGTAACAAATGTGCCGCCAGTAGTGTTCACTCTCCGGCGCCCTCTATATCTGGCAGGTGGCGCTCGCCTCGCACTTGCGCACAGTGCTACGCCGCCCACTGTGCCTTGTTGCCCGCGTAATTACCCTCGAAGTGAAATCATCGTACTTGCGCACAGTACCGGGCGGGTAGCGCCCGGTACGCTCCAGTTAATGTCTATTGCACGGTCACACGTGAGCCAGCTAGGGCGACGGCACGCCCATTTGACGACAGCACGCCCATTTGTCGACGGCCCGCCCGTTTGTCGACGGCACGTCCGTTGATGGCGGCACGCACGTTTGATGACGGCACGCCCGTTTGTCGACGGCACGCCCACTTGTCGACGGCCTGCCCGTTTGTCGACGGCACGCCCGTTTGCCGACGGCACGCCCGCTTGATGGTGGTACGCTCGGTGGACGGTGGACGACGGTGGACGGGGGTAGGGCGTTAAAATGAATCAGGTTCGGCAGCCACGTTGTCAGCGGAGATGACGCTGATGGAAAAGCCCTGATGCGGGCGATGACTTTCCAGTTTCTCAGCAGAGGTGCTCCAGAGGTGAAGTTTCGCAAGATGAGTTGGGAGAGGAAGGGCCGACCTCTGAAAAATGAGGCAGCCAGCCCCTAAAACACGTCTACAAACGACACTTTCCGCGGACGTGGTCTACTTTCTTCTTCAAGTAAGGGCTGGAACCCAACTTTGGGGGGTTGGGGGGGAGAGTGCTCTAGATGGACACCGCGTTGCCCGACTCTACAGAAAACTAGACCTCTGATAGAGGCTGCCAACAACCCATGGAGCCGCCGCCGGCCAACTCTATGCCGGCACGTTTACAGACGGACACCTATTCGAAGCCAGCGATGGGTTACGCCTTCATTCCTGAATATTCAACAAGATGCGGCGCACCATACAGTTCGTGTGTGACTCCCCGAGGCACCCCGTTACCCTCGCGCCGTAGCGGTGAATGATCGTTGGTCAGTTGGTCGAATAAGTGTCAAGAGCACAGGTGCGTTCTCCTTTGCAAGGCTTCATGCAATCAACGACTCCGTCGTGGTCGGTTAGTAGGCCACTGTGATCGATATCAATTGTGATCTCTTTTTTGTAATCTCTTTTTTCAATTTCAGGATTAAGCGAGCACTACGGGGCATATAGAATCCGTTGTGTAGGCTTTGATGACCATCCGCTACCAGGCCACCTTGCCGGCGGTAGCGGAAGACCTATCTATATTTTTCAGTTACGAGTTGTTCTTACCGCAAGTTGTGTCAAGCGAGGTTTCACTGATATCCAAACGTTACGTTCATTGCTAATCATGCTAAACATAAAACAACTTCTTAACAGCAAATTGCAAGTACTAAAGGCTTGAAGGATTAATAGAACTAATCATGTAAGGACTAACAAATCTTTGATCCAAAGACCCCAAAAATAAACAAAGCATTGATATATACTGTTTAACGCAGTCATGCCCAAATGTGCTTCCCGTCCTCGCTGATGCACACTTGAAGACAGTTTTGTCTAACAGTTTGACTTAATAGCTGCAATATCTGTAGTTGAACGGACTTCATGAGGGTGGATATAAAAAACACAATTTGTTCATATCTCTGCATGGTTGGCTCGTAAGCGTGGACTTTCAAATGTGCAGTGAGAGCAAGAGAAAAGCCACCGCGATTAGCGCCGTGTGCGGGTCTGGCTACAGCTCCGGGCTATTGTTACAACTAAGATGAAAACGCAAATATTTGTATTCGTGGCATGAGCCAGCATGGTAGATGAAGAGAGTAGGCTATGCCATTTGTTGGTTTTGTCTTCCTCAGACAAGATCTCATAATTGCCAGATAGCCCTGAGCTTATTGCCGTGTCCTAGCTCTTTTCAAGGTTTGTACATACCGCAGTGGCAATTCTCTCGGTAGATGCTGTTGTGTGATGGCAACATGACGTCACCCAGTAACCTTGCCTGAGGCGCTTCAACTCTCTCGGCACGTGCGCAACGTAACACTTCACCTCCTCCCGGCAGGTACGGCCCAATACCAGTGCAGCATCTGCAGTCGCTGGTACACCAAACAGTGCTCGCTGGTGTTCCACATGCAGAAGCACCAGGGCCTGAGCACGTGCCCCGTGTGTGGCCGTGTGTGCAGCATGGTGCGCAACTTGCGCCGCCACATGTACACGGTGCACAAGATGTCCGCCGGCCAGGTATCCTCCCTACCGCGTCCGGGTGAACGAGAGGTCGCAGGGAGGTGGCCGGAGGCCGGCACTGCCAGAATCACCGATCAGTACGAGGCGTCACTGGGCGATAGATGAAGCTCTTCACTGGCTGATGACGTCATAGACACCCACCCAAGGTTTGGGGGTGAGGGGTGGGGGATGTCGGGGTGACACCCGCACAAGGTTTTGCAGGGCAGAGAAGTTGTTTGATGCTAGTGGTGCATGGGCGTGGCCAGTCAATGACTGGTTCGGACTGACCATTTACCGTCTTCTGCGATGTTCTCGACGCTTTTGGTTCTTATGTGCGCGTTCTGCATGTGTGCGTAGTGAGAACTGCTTGTATTTGTAGGTTCTATATCACATTTCGTTTGACGACTTATTCACTAACCGCATCCGCAGCCTGCCAAGTGTCGTATCTGGGATGTTAGCTGCATTACAATTTGAGTTACGCTGTTCGAGCCTTTGTGGTTGTTCATATTTAGTTAGTTGCATAGGAACTTCCACGCAAATCCCACCATCCCCGGTGCGTGGTGAAATATTGCTGAACTGGTGACAAGAGAGATGAAATATTATCATGTTAGTGCGGTCACGCTGTTCATTTGTTAAAGGCAATGTTTCATATTTTAAAATATGGAAGCAAGCATCAGATGTGATGAAACCAGCTCACTTATAACGACAGGTAAAACTTTTGAGTGGAAAATACTTCTCTAGACAGAACGATTCTGTCTAAATTATCGTAATCAAACCATGACGCACTAAGGAGCATATACAGAGAACTGTGCTCTCTATAACAGTCTTCCACTTGAAAAACATGCCAAACGTTATATGTGAGCTTGTTTGATCATATCTTGTTTTTTTCATATCTTCAACCGTGAAATATTCACTTTAAGAGCCAGTGTGAGATTGTAGGACTATCTTCCGTGAACCCTCCTGAGATAGCTGAATATGGACCAATGAACGCACGAGCCAGCAGGGGGGCTTTCTGCTATCGGGTGGTGTCCGGTCCGATCCTTCGGGTCGTCAAACACCATAATCCTCGATCGGAATTGTCGTTGTTTGCAATCTGACAGAGGTCCAAGTCTAAGCATGCTGCCCACACAACCACTGATATCGTCATCCGCGTAATCTTCAGCACACAAGCATTGGACTCGCTCGGCTGCTTCGACGCCTCGTTGAAGCAGTTTGCGTCAGCTTTTTCAATCGACAGACTTGCCTAATAGCGCTTAAAATCAACCCTAACGCGGTTCACATCATGCTTCACAAATAATCTTCTGCGCGCACTTGCGAGAAAACTACAGGCGTGGGCTTTGCGCGAGACACTATACATGAGTTTTGCGTGAATAAACCATACTGGCACACTTCCGCAAGACTGCGTTGTCCTAGCGAGCCGAAAATGTTCCGGCCGTGGTGACGCATGGTGGCAAAGTTGTCTGACTCCATCACTGGCTCATTTAATTCATTGGTCCGATTTCTGTATAGCTCTATGATTCCGAGGTTGCTCTGGATTGTGAAATGGTCATTTCCTGGAGCTCAGGTCACCGTGTCATGCGTCTTGTTCTCGCCGTTCATGACTTGTTTGGCAGGCGCAGACGCCGTGGACGGTTAGATTGGTGGTCTTTCTTCATCTAAACTACTGAAGCACAGCTTGGGAGGCGTCCAGCCACGCCGCATCGCAGTGCCCATGGGTTTCGCCCATGCCATTGCTGGCATCTTTCGCATCGGCCATCAGCGTGCCGACATGTCCGCGGCTCTGCTCCCACCGGGCAAACCTCGTCGGTGTCGACTCTGTTGTAACTATAGCTGCCCTCAGTTAATCCGAGGCCGTGCCTGTGGCGGCATCGACTGGATCTTGTCTCGGTGTGTCACCGTCACGTAGGAGGAACGCGGCCTCGTGCTCCTGCAGCCACTGGGTCCCACTGACGCACACATGCAACTCCCGATACTCGGCGTTCAGCGTGTACGCGAATACGGGGAACAGACACGTTGTGCAGTGGCGCTGCACCCCGTGGGGCGCGTCAATCAAGTGGCGTAAGAGCTGCGCCAGTTTTGTGTACCGCCCCAAGGGGCATAAGAGCCGCGCCAGTTGTAACCGCTTGCGCTTCGTGTTACATTCGTAACAGCACAGCAGCCGCTGTTGCGGAGTCGTCACCGCCTCACCCTCCAACCGCGCCGGTTCCTTGCTGAAGTCGACCCGCGCAAGCTTGTCCGACACGTAGCAGCTGTGCCACGTGCGCCTCCTTCCCTGGCGGCTAAACCGGACGGCTGGCAGCCGGCAGAGTCGGCAGCGGGCCTCCAGGCCGTGGCCAGAGCTGAGCGCGTGCTTTACACACTCATCCCACGCCTGACTCACCTGCTGGCAGGTGAGGCAGGTGAGAGGGCGAACCTTCTCCATCAGGTTGGAACGTTCCCAAGTCTCGCCAAGCAGGCGGGGGGAAGGCGCCTGCGCCTCATCCCTAAAATTAAAAGAGTGGCGACGGCTTCCACCGTCATCGTCGTCCTCCTCGTCAGGAGGTGCCCTGCTGCTGGCGGCGAAGTTGCCTCTCACGTAGACAGTTGTAAGTGCTCCAGTGGTGCACACATCACGTATGATCTCTTCTGCGGCGGCCATTCTGGCAGGGCGGGTCTGCTTGGTGACCTGGGTTGATTGTCCCGAAGGGTTGATCACATCCGATCTGAAGGGAGAGAACACGTGAAATAATAGCTAACGAATTAAATAGATTGCTGGACACCTCTGACTACTACTGTTGCGCACCGTCCCTCAGATCAACACGTCATGCATACATACATGCGTACATACATGCGTACACACACGTGCAGAAAGAAAGAAAAAAAGAGAGAAGAGAGAAAAAAGACCAAAAGAGAGAGAAATGGAGAGAAGTAGGGAGGCAAAGAAAGAAAGGGAAAGAGTGGAAAAAAGGAAGAGAAAAGGAAAGAGAAAAACAGATAGCTAGCTGAGCTAGCTGGCTGAGATTTGGCAAAGTTTAGTTCAGTATCAGCAGTATTGTGTTTGCTGCTTCACAAATGCACAAATGCACGTGCACATGCACATGCACACACGCGCGCGCACACGCATATCCCCACACGCACACACACACACACACACACACACACACACACACACACACACACACACACACACACACACACACACACACACACACAACACACACAATACACACACAAACACACACAACACACACACACACACACACACACACACACACACACACACACACAATAGCATGAAAAATGGATACAAATGCCCAGTAGCAGGTTTGTAGCTTCAACCTACAAAATGCGGTGCAGCGAACAATACCTGTTCTGTGACCTATTACCACTCAGCTCTCTCAGGTCTCAGCTATAAGGCTGGCATATTCTACCATGCACCTATGACCCAGGAACGGTGTCATCGATGGCGGAAAAAGGACTTTGAAACATTTGTATTTTCTCTCACATACTTGCTTTTCTTTTTCTGAAACAAACACAATACTGTCATCCAGTTAAATAAGTACGCTCGCATACGAAGCCAGAACACAGCACATCTGGAAGTGACAGCAGAGTTATCGTCATATATGACTTGTACTGAATTAACACACCAAATACTAAATTATCACGATACATCTCAAACTAGACGAACTATGCTAGCGCCACGCACATCTAAGCACTTTAACGACATCTCAAATAGGTCTCACTAAGGCTGACCCGATATAGATTTGCTTGCATGAATTCCACATCTTTTATGCCACGAATGTTATACTGAGAAGACAGAAAAGTTCGATAACAAGTTAAATACAGCTCTCTTACCAAAGTTGTTCCTTCTATCGCCGTTGACGAAACAGGCGGACTTCAGTGGCGCACGTCAGACCTCGCGTCACTCGCCACGCCATCTGACCTCGAAGCAAAAGGGCTCACTTATCTACACTAACGGCCGCGCAGCGGGGCGGCGCCACTTGCCGGTAGTCCTTGTCGCTGCACCATCTATCTTCCCTGTTCGGGTGCCATCTTCGTAGCACCCAGACGCAACCGTTGTGCACGCAACAAGGGGTACGCATCCCATCCAGCTAAATAGAAAACTACACCCCTGGTCCCAAATCAAGTATATCTAGCTCAGCAAAAGCCTAGGTGGGTATCACATTGCCCCAGAATCTGTCCCTTAGATAAGTAGGATAGTACCCTGGCTAGAAGATGGATACACTAGCTACTATGCCCCAGATGCTCCTATTTATATTAATGTGGCTTGCATGACGCTTAAATAATAATTTACTTTAACGTGCCCCGGCGAATTGTTCAACAGATGCACAACATTTTAAGCGTTGGCTTCTATCAGCCTTAATTGAGACTCACACCTCTACTATAGAATGTCAATATCAACGACTTTTATCAGCTCGATTGCTTAAAAAAATACAGCAGGCGTGAGCATAGACTTAGGAAGGAAGCACTTACTTAGAAAGCCAGAGTATTTAAGAATTGCAGGCAGCCAATTTAATGATTTTGGCAATCACTGAGACCAGCTAGAGCATGGTGTTAACTGTCATCTGTTGCCAAAGAATGCCCTTTAGTGCCAGTTGTGAATACAGTGCAAATTCACCTGGGTTGTTTTGTCCTCACTACAAGCCATGATTTGAGAATTTTTGATCTCTTCCCTAAGAACCAAAACCAAATTTCAGATGCTGACCCCAACCCATTAGTTATATAGCATACAGTGTGGACTTCACTACAATGACCTTGACCTTTGGCAATCTGCGCCTGTTAGGTGCAAGCCAAGTGGAACCACATGTAGGAACCACATGCGCCTGTCAGGTGCAAGCCAAATGGAACCACATGTAGGTAACATTATTTCCATTAGGCGGTACTAGCCTGCTGCAGCGATCAAGTCAGATTTGTTGACAGCTTAACATGGGATTGCAGTTCTTCTTGCAATAGCAATAAGCTAGCATATCTTGACCTACGACCTTAGGTCGGGTCAAAGGTCACCAAAAAGACAAAAACAAACGAAATAGGTTTGCAGGTAAACCCATGTTCGGAGCCTATGGCATCAATCATCCTAAAATCTTCACCAATTGATGTGCCATAGTCGATATCCCATCCTTTCCAGACCACGGTGACTTTGGGTCTGGTCAAAGGTTTCCATGTTCTGGACTGAATAGGATATTGACTATGGCGCATCGATTGGTGAAAGTTTTATGGTGATCGGTGCGTTAGGCGCGAAGAATGGGTTTCCTGCAAACCTATTTTTCCGGTTTCTGTATTATTGGTTACTTTTGACCTGATCCAAGGCCACCACATTCTGAAAAGGATAGGCTATTGACGAAGCGGCATCGAATGATGAAGATTTCATGTCAATCGGTGTCACAGGCTCGGGGCGTGGATCTGTCAACAGGTTTGGTCGGCCGTTTGGGCCAAGGCCCTAGAACAGATAGTGAATAGTAAATATCGGTCATTATTTCATCTGGAAACACGTTAAGTCAATGCTTGCACACGTCGTTACCTTTACTGCAAATACTCGCGAATACTTATACGCGGCATAAGGGCGGTACGACCAACCTGATGCTTCAAAAGGTTATGCCTGCCATTACTTGCACTGCAAAACACATAATTATTGGTTGCCCACATCTCTTCTACTGCAAATATGTATACGCAACGTTAGTGCTGCATGATAAAACTTATGCTTAAGTAATACAAAACTGTCACCATTTTTATTGCAAAAGTATAGGATTTTTAAGTGAAATAACCATTTTACGACCATTCGGTGCAGGTCAAAGCCCTGCCCTTTTTAAAACCTAATGCACTCTATTTTCTGGGCTTTATGCCCGCGAAAATATGCAGACTTTTCGGGTAGTGTATTTCAAGGTCACCTTGGTATCCATTACGTCAGAATAAGGCCATTCAAATATCATGTCGTTCGTCAAACCATGAGGCGATCAATGCCGAGAAAGAAACAATGGTCAAGTCGTTTATACCTGGCGTTCGTGAGCAATATTTTTAGACAAACAGTCGACATTTGGTTCGCAATCAGTGTTGTTCAAAGTACAATAACGCAATGAAACAACGACGCATTGAAGGGCATGCTTGCCAAATAGACTAATTTTGCTGTTTACAACAGCCCTTTCCACTTAAAATTATGCTGATAGTTATAAGTGAGCTACTTTCATCATATCGGAATAATTGCAGGAACAATAATGCGTTGTGACCTTGAAAAAGAACGTTGTAGTGTGATTGCACACAGCCAAATGTTCCCACGTGTCCAATCCCTTCGGAATTTGTTAGGCTTAATCTGTGGTACAAGCAGTGTTATAATTTGTAGATTATGTTCTGTATCGTATTGCACAAATATCGCATATAGCTATGGGCCGAAGAAATAATGTCGCTCATAGGTGAAGACAAGGTAAAGTTTCTACAGTAGACATAATGACAGACGCAAGTTTTTTAGGGCATAAACTTTTCATTAATTTTCCAGTTTTCTTGCGCACCACCAATGCCACATTTGACCATTTGCAGCAGAAGTAACATCACGTCTAAGTAAAGACTTGTATAAGGCTTTGCTGTAAACATAATGGCTGGTAAGTGTTTTTGCAACGTAATCTGTGTCGTGAAGTTCCACGTCGTGTATGAGTTTTTACGGTAGAAGTAATGTCGCGTATAAGTAAGGACTGCGTACATCTTTGCTGCACAAGCAATGGCGGGTATAAGTTTTTGCGGCATAAGTTCTGTTGTGTAGCACTCATTTCATGCATGACTTTTTGCAATATAAGCACTTTGGGGTATAAGTAAAGACTGTGTAATTTTTTCAGTTGGCATTAAGATGTGTATAAGTTTTTGAAGCACACAGTTTGTCGGGCAGCAATCGCGTGGTGTCGAAGTCCTTGCAGTAGAAGTAATGCCGCGTATAAGTGGAGTCTGTACAAGTTTCTGCAGTAGAAGTTCAGTCGCGTATAAATGAAATAGAGTCTGTGTAAAAGTTACTGCTATAGAAGTAATGTCACGTGTGGCTAATATCGTAGCACTCCTGCCAGTAGAAGTTTTTGCCGTAGCATTAATGTCGTGACACGATCATCAGGGACGGAAGGCACAAGCCCTCGAAGGGCAGCGAAGAAAAGTATTTGATCAAAGCTGATATGAGATAGCCTGTTGTGGTATTTTCATTGGAGCGGCTCCTGGTGGCTCAAAAGACCTCTTAAACCCTATTGGATATAACCACGGCGGCCACGGTAACCTGTCTCTGAGTCCAGGGCGGCTAAAAAGTGAGGTTTTCTGTATCGATGTTGCCAATGCAGACAACTGTGTCCGTCACTGCAATTACGTTGCATTTTCTTATATTCCTCCTGCGCTACCGGTATAACACCAGCTTCTCCAGACATTATGCCGGTCGGCCACAGTAGAGCACACGAATTCTTCTTAACTTGGTTCGTGCCCTCTCGTTTAGAGCCAACAGCAGACACAGCCACCACTCTGCTTGTGATAACCAACTGGCAGCATTCCATCCGCTCACAATAAGACGTTTGGAAAGATGAACTTCGGGCTGGCCAGGCACCTGCCGCGTGCCAGAATCGCCACTTGGTGGCCAGACCGCATTGGTGACCCGTGCGGGCTCCACCCGACAGCTCCCCCTCCCCACCCTCCCACGCTCTCCACCGTCCACCGGCAGCAGACCCGCCCCGTCACGTGGCACGCCAGGCTCGCCTGCGCCGCGGTCACGTGACCGGCCCGGCCCGTTGGATCCGCGCCGTTCTCAGGCCTGGCTCGGCGTCACGTGACCCCCGTGACCCCGTGTGACCCGGCCGGAGCGCAGCCGACGGCTGGCTTGCCCCGCTCTGGGTCAAACGGGTGGGTTCATTCGCCCCGGCTGCTCCCCCCCCCCCCCCCCTCCATACCCAAGCGCAGAAGTCAGCAAGAAATGGCAGCAGTTTGCCATCGAGCCACCGTCTGGTCAGAACAGCTGGCGGCGCAAGGTAGGAACCTCGTTACGGTTTGCGATGCTTTGGCTAGGACAGCACGGTACTGGAATGCGAAATATTGATTTTGATCGACACGATTATTTTGAGTCGTACCCTGCCAGGCTCACAGAGAGCACGCACGTTGCGTAGCTTTACCTTTCAAAAAATGCATACCATATATGTCCATTGAGTCAACATGAATAGAATAGTTATCAGATCAGGGAATACAGTCAATCAACGCATACCAAATTTGCTTTGAAGACAGTTGGGCTCATCGTACCATCTCATTCAGGAGTCGCTAGCTGCGACATTTCCTACTTTGCCATCGATGTGCATATCAAGAACATCCCAATATGCCGGGGTCGCCAGTCCCTGGGTTCGCGAGCACCGTGGCAGAGCTCGGCAACGACAACTTCCTCCTACCGCTTACCGCCTACCGCTTACCGCCTACCGCTGTTTACGGCTGCTGTGCGGCTTGCACAACGCACCGGCCCAGCTCCTGAGGAAGGCAAGCTCATCTAGTCGACATCTGCATGATTACCCGACCCGTTGTCCGCCGACGCCAGAGTCCAGACCGACGTCAGTGTCCAGACCGACGTCAGTGTCCAGACCGGCACCAATGTCCAGACCGACGTCAGTGTCCAGACCGACGTCAGTGTCCAGACCGGCACCAATGTCCAGACCGACGTCAGTGTCCAGACCGACGTCAGTGTCCAGACCGGCACCAATGTCCAGACCGACGTCAGTGTCCAGACCGACGTCAGTGTCCAGACCGGCACCAATGTCCAGACCGACGCCAGAGTCCAGACCGACGTCAGTGTCCAGACCGGCACCAATGTCCAGACCGACGCCAGAGTCCAGACCGACGTCAGTGTCCAGACCGGCACCAATGTCCAGACCGACGTCAGTGTCCAGACCGACGTCAGTGTCCAGACCGACGTCAGTGTCCAGACCGACGTCAGTGTCCAGACCGGCACCAATGTCCAGACCGACGTCAGTGTCCAGACCGACGTCAGTGTGCAGACCGACGTCAGTGTCCAGACTGACGTCAGTGTCCAGACCGACGTCAGTGTCCAGACCGACGTCAGTGTCCAGACCGACGTCAGTGTCCAGACCGGCACCAATGTCCAGACCGACGTCAGTGTCCAGACCGACGTCAGTGTCCAGACCGACGTCAGTGTCCAGACCGGCACCAATGTCCAGACCGACCCCGCCAGGTCACCACCCGACCTCTGCGGCGCCCGACTCTGTTCCGCGCCGACCGGACTCCGCTCCGCGCCGACCGGACTCCAGCCGCCAAACAGCGCGCGGTGCGACGCCGAGCTTCCTGTTTTGTCGAGCTGCTTCGCCGCCGATCACAACAGCAATCACACGGGTAACGCTGTGGCTGGCGAGGCCGGTAGGCCGCGTGAGAGCCCGCCTGATCCAGGCGAGGCCGCTGTGGCTGGTGAGGCCGGTAGGCTGCGCGAGACCCCGCTTGATCCAGGCGAGGCCGCTGCAGCTGGCGAGGCCGGTAGGATGCGCGAGAGCCCGCCTAATCCAGGCGAGGAGCTGCGGTTCAACGCGGCTCTGGAGGCGGCATGTGTGCTGCTGGACATTACTGCCCAAACGGACGGGTCGTACTTTTGACGGCCACTGCCCGCTTTGGAAAACACCCTGGAGGCTGCTTAGGTCCATCTTGTAATGAGCCAGCTGTGTGTCCCCTGTAATGACGCTATGTTTTTCAAAATATTTCTGGCATCGCCTCCCACCTCGTGTGCCATTCCCGGCGCCCCAATCACTGCGAACCGGATCGACGTGGACGGCGCGGGGCGGCGCGCACACTGCCCCGCCGCCTGCCCTTCGCCCGCCCCGGGCAGGCTGAGCTCGCCTGCCCGGGGTAGTTCTCATGACCGCGGGACGGCCGTGATATATGACTCGAGGAGACTCACAGGTCCCCGGCGAAAGACGCAGCCAGTCGGAGCCTCCCCCTTCACAACGCACGCCGAGCAGACCCAGTGAACTAATCGGGGCGATGTGTCCAGGCGGCTACGGGGAGTGGGGAGGAAGGGGGGGGGGGGGGGCGCTGCCTCTTTTTATCCAGAGACCGGAAGCAAACGTCCAGTGAGAGCTTGCGCATGCCACGTTTTTGTTGAGCACTTGTTCTGATTGTCTCCGGCTTTGATATATGCAGGGCACGTTCACGCGGAAGACCCGTCGTTCAGCCGCTATGTCGGCCCGCCGTGTGCCGTTTCGTCACTCACTCGCCTATCCCGGTGTCGCGTGCTGTAATCACCAGCCCCATAGCCCGGATGCTAATTGTGCTAATGACAGGGGGACGGAAGTGTTGCAAGCCGTTTTGGGTCTCTTGCGAAGTTGTGAACGGGACTCGGCTGCGAATGGCCCCGAAAGCTTGTTCTCAGAACTTCAGGCAGCGGGGCTTGATGGCATCATTGGGTGCTCTTGTGCTGCGATGCGTGTTATAACACGCCGAGCGCACCCACGCCTGACCATGCAGCAGCACCTTGTCCTAAGCCACCGTGCGGAGCTCCCATGGGTCCTGGTTCAGACGGAGGCCAGAGCACCGTCTTCAGAGCCAGCGCCTGGTGACGGCGAGCACCGTGCTCAGGGTGGCAAACGGTGCGCCCTCTCGTGAGAGGGAGCACTGTGTTCAGACGTGCCCGGCACTGGAGCACGCCGCTCTGGAGATGAGTGCGTCGGCGGCGCGTGCCGGCAGTGTCACGGCGCGCGACGTGACGCTGTGGAAGCCGTGACGCCGCCGACCGGGGCTTTGTATGACGCATCTGGCCCGAGATCGAACAGCGGGGCGCCCCACTGAGGTCAATCTAGGTCAAGGTCAAGCGGGTCCGTCAGCTGTTAATGTACGGAATTTGGACTGGAACACAGCAGATAAAGTTGCAGCTTTTGACCGGATCATGGGTTGACTGATTAGCGTTGTTTACACATAATGGAAACTTGTGTTCCGTATGTAGAACTGATTGGACCAGCTGTGCAAATCACCATACATGCGGACCACGATTGGCACGGACTTTCAAAAAATTTCCAACCGAGCTCGGATCATACTAAAATTTTGAGTATCAGCCTAAAAAGAGACCATTTTGCTCATGTGTGTTGTGTTTACCGTTTCAAATCAAACTTTTAATTTTTCCACATTAATGCAAATATTTGCACGCGTTTTTTTCTGTATGCCGGCATGGACCAAACTCTATTTAAGGTATGAGATGACTGTTGGTTTACGAGAGCCTAGATTCGTATACGTACGCTTTTACAAGCCCTTGAACGTTATATATATATATATATATATATATATATATATATATATATATGTGTGTGTGTGTGTGTGTGTGTGTGTGTGTGTGTGCGTGTGTGTGCGCGTGCGCGTGTATGCGCGTGTGGGTGTGTGTACGCATGCGCGTGCGTGGGCATGTATGGGTCTGTGTGTAGAGCTCTGTTGTCCGGAGTGCAGGGATTCCGTTACAGACGCAGCAATCCTAGGCGCGTGCTCGTAAGCCAGCTTGTTTTTTTTCGAAATCCGCACTGGGGCTCGTCGTTGGCCTTCTGAACCATTGTCGTGCGAGAGCAAGGACATGGAAGCGTCGCATCGCGTTTTTCCCTTGCCGACGTGTAAACGGACGTGTACAGGCTGACGACAGACCCGGCAGGCGGTAGGATGCGTGCCCTGCATCGAACGTCCCCGCACGATCCGAGACGTACCGTTGGCACCGAGGCTCGGGTCTGTTTGCTCTAACATAGGGGGGGGGGGGGGGGGGGGTTCAGGTGAGGCTGGCTATGCCGCTGTGTGCCGACCACGGGCATCACGAAATATTTGCAGTAAATATTCGCAGACGCTTTTTTGACTTCGTGAGTGCAGCTGCCTTGTACAGTTTTGCCAACACCGCTCAGCGCAATACAGAAGCCAATGCGTTCTAACTGCCCCGTGGCACAGAGCAATCACGGGGTCGCCAGCACACGTCCGCCTGCAGTTAGCGTAACCCAACACGACGCTTGCAGACTGGCGTCCGGTGCGTGACGTCAGAGCGGAAGGCGCGGAGGCGGCGACTGGATGAGGCTGTTTTCCCTCCTTCGACAAGGGCGCCGGCACAACGGAAGATCAAGGCCAGCAAAAGCGCGTGGGCGGGTGAAAGGAGCGCTGTTCGTGTGAAGCAGCGCGTCGGGTCGCATGCACAGACTTTTTGGAAGTCAGCCGAGCATCCTTGGGTCATTAGCGGTTAATGTTTCCTTGGATTGTCTTGACTCCCCTGCGAACCACCAGCCTTGCTTGACAAAGTTTACAGACGTTCTTGATGGCATGTTCATGTGTGACTGCTGTTTTTTTTGTCA